TCTTGTAAAGCAAAACACGTATTTGGCCAAAAACTGCGTGTACCATAAGTGGCCAATATTAATATTAAATCACATCATTTTTAATGAAATTTCACATCTAACAATTGTAATATATCGATCGCATTATATTTCTGGTTACAATTTTTGTTTATTTTGTTGTACTTGATATATAGTTTTTCCAAAAATACAGCGCCGTGTCATGTACATCTGCATTATCTAAATCGGAATAGGGTCAATTTGCGAAAAGTTATCTCCCTCGGAAAGAATGATTTACCGCGTTAAACTCTTTTACGAGAACTCTCTGGTTTTTTTTTCGCGCGGAATAGTTGTCACATGTGTTCGCGACGGTAAAAAGAATCAATTAGACCGGAGCTAGAAACGAGCGAGGCCAATGTACCCCGCGTATTCGAAAGTGCAGATATTTACAGCGTAACGAACGTAACAACGTAATTAACGATTGAACCGACACGGATTGTCACGGGGTTCACTGGCAGAGACCCCGTTCGCGAGTGTGCTTCTCGTACGCGCGGGAAGTAAACGAGTGTTCCGTAAATTTCTTACGATAGCATTTCCGTGACTTATTACCGCAGCAGGCGAGAAGCGTTAGCGGTGGCCGCGTCGACTAATGGCGCCATGTGGCTAGAAAATAAGAAGGCATAAGTATAAGAAAACGTTACAAATCCACCCCGCGGTATTGGACGCCGCATCGGCCATAACGTTAAACGACAATATAGGACCGGCGCCCTTCGTCATACGAAAGTCCGAAACGGCCTTACCCCATTAAATGTACTTATATAAGATACTGGCCGGTGGGCAGCGAACCGCGCATCAATCACGATAATAGGACAATAAATATCTGACCGACAGGCGACTGCCCCGGCTAAGATCAAAAGTGCAGTAGCTTGCAATTTCTGCCCGATTTCCTGCCGATATTCGCTCGCAATAACTCAACCTCCACATCTGTAATATGTAATCGCTCCCCTACCGTGGGTCTAAGCCTCGCATTAAAGTGTCACCCTGATCCACCCCCCCCCCCTTTCGTCCCTCGATGCCGAAGTGCGCGATACTCTGTGCAACAGTTCGATAGTTTGCAGGCAAGATTTGCCGCTTCCCAGCGTAGCATAGGCTGCGAAAGGCAAAACGGATCTCACACTTGGCCAACCAGAAAATTCCCCGATTTTGTTTACGCGATGGTACGAAGGCGATAAAGAATTCCGATTTTCCTCGTGTCACCTCCATTCGCGAATACGAGAATGTTTCTTCGGCAGATGATAGCAGCGCAGGGTCATTTGAAATTGCCGTGGGAATTAAATTAAGTAAACGTAAACGACGGAATGGTTAACCGCTACATTTTTCTTATCGAGTTACATTTTATTATCAATATCAGTGCGTCTTATTGTTGCTTAAATCAAAAGCACGAGAAATTTACTGTATTTCACGTACGTTTCTTATTAATTTACGTAGAGATGTTTAAACATTGATCGTACAATTGTTATCGTCAGACCAAAGCTTGGAACAGATTCTTGTTTTTTTTATGCGTCTACAAATACTTTAATAAAAATCAATGAATAATGTAAGGTCTAGGCATAGACGTAGGCGAGTAAATTCGCAAAATAGTGCAAAGACGCGAGGTTGCTTGATGGGACACGCGGTATCGATAGTCGTAATTTCACGCGGCAGTTAGAATACCGGGTCGACCTCGTTTCGCGAGCGGTTTATTCAAAACGGAAGTTTAGATATACACCTAGAGTAATACGAAAACGGCGTATCGGACGGAAACTTCACCCTTTAATATATAAATATAGCAGGAGGCAGGGCTCAGCATAAGGCGCGTGTGCATTAACTGTTGAAAACTACGACATGTAAACTTGCTTTCCTCCTCTATAAACCATAAAACAACGGGCTCTGGACCGGCAGACAACCTCGCAACCCGCTAACTATTAAAAGTTGCAAATTGCTGCAGACACACTGCGGGGCCCCGTGTATTCGTGTACTGGCCGTCTTGGGCACTCGCGCGCGCGCTCGTCCTATCCTAACTTACTTACTTACCAGACTTACTCGCTTCCTTACTTATATAGTCACTCGTTTACTTACTTATTCCCTGCTTCGTATTCCTTATCCTCTGCACTTTTCCGCGCCGCGGTTTTCCCCCGTTAACATTACTTGTTCTTGTCACACTTGTTCTTGTACGAGCGTGCACACATACACACTTTTGCCTCCGGAAACAACCAGTCTAGCAGAAATGCCGAGAAGTGTGATTAAACGTTGAGTTTAATCGAAATAACGAAATAGCAGATATTATTTCTTATCGCGCGTATCTCACTTCTTATTACATCGGTTAGAATTGGGCTGTGCGTGGTGCAAACTGCTATTCACCGCGATTGATTCTACAATTAACGAAGCTATCAGCCGGTTAGAGATAATTTATATTCGGGATTGCTACGTAATAGACAATAACGCAGATTATTTAACTTCTGTATACACACCAGTGTTCAATATACTATCCGGCAAACTATTTGCTACGGTTAGTTTACCGTTTAGTTGCGGCGTCCCAATGTCGCTTCCAAATATATTTTGTAAAATAGTTTACGATGCGCGGCTGGCTGGTAATCGTACAAAGCACCGCGTGAACGTAAATGCTTTATCAAGCGGGACGGAATATTTTGCCTCTGTTCGCACATTTCGCTATAATTCGGTTCAATTATCATTCGATTATATCGATTTTAGAGGTATGCATTTAGCATCGGCGTACAAATGCGGGTCCGCGAAATTACGAAAAATATGTCCGCGCGGAGACGCAAATCCCACGAACAGTTAAATCAAAAGCGTTACCACAATCGAATACTAATTTACATCAATTTCTTTCGCATATGTATTGTAAAATGCACGCGCGAACCCGTAATATAATAAAGAATTTTTCTTTCTACTTCACTTGACAACGGAATTTATAATAGAATTTCTTCGCTTTACTGCGCACCGATAGCTACAAATTGTTAATTCCGACTGTATCGCGTCAGCTACATAATGAAATGTTAAAACCGCTTTTAAAAATTACTGGCAGAAACTCAATAAATTTATCATACCATTAATCAACATATTCGCGTTTTCATGTTAAAATACATTTTTGATGCGATATATTTCGTGCACCGCAATTTTATGTAGGCAATTTTATTGTTATCCTTTTATTATCTCAGTTGAAAGCAGAGGAAAAAATACATTGGAAAAAATGTCGTACGTAGAGTTTCGCTGAATGTAATTCGATTTGAATAATAAAGGCGCGTAAAAACGAAAATTAACGGTCGATTGTATGGTCTTTATTAAAATAACGGTCTTAATTGCCGCGTCTTAAAACGCTTTTTTTTATCTCAGCCTATGCGCCAGTTTCATAAACTCTTATAATCCAGAAGAGTTAAATACCGTACCTGCCAGAGACTGCACGAACGATGCCGGTGGTTGACTATGCCGACGGCCAAGAAAATGAAAAGTAACGATTCAATATCAACGCCACGCGGCGTTGCGTGTAGCGAATTAACACGTACTGATACGGCTGGTGTGTCGTCCACGTTGGTGACACCATTCTTCCATTAACCCTGTCCACATTTTCTGCGTATCGTGCGCGTGACTTTTATTATCCGCGTACTTCGGCCATAACATTTTACTATTTCCTGCTTATATCATGCTCGTGAAATCTATCACACCATTAATTGCCAATAGGATTACGCAAGGGGGCGAGATCGCGTGACCGAAGGATGCATCGTAAATTGATTTTAGCTCCGATTAAAAATATATTTAAATACGAGAATACGTGGTTAAGAAGGAAATTGTTAGCGGATAAAAACAGCATATTCTAAAATAAAATTCATATTAATATCAAAATTTGTTGAAACGGGGAGGTAATGTGTCGATGAATTCAACACATGTTTTTATATCCAATTTTCCCAGAGGGCTTATTAATTGCCGATAATGTTTTATAAGGGGCGTCGGTAGTGCACACTCGCGCACTGCCTGTGAGAGAACAATACGTTGTCGATAAAATCGATGGATTTCTGTCATTCATAACGTACTCTCTGTTAAAGTGCCTTTCGACAAAGGAAGATATCAAATCAATAATGGCCGATACACACGTGTAATAGTTTAGTTACTGTCCCGAATTAACTTGGCTCTTTGCGAACGTTCCGTACGTTGAGAAATTCAATATAGCAAAACTTGTTCCACGGCTCGCTCGTGGTCCCGTCGCTTTTACGTACCTTCATTTTTTCCTGGGCCGCGATCGATTCCGCCGAAATGACTTTTACTATCTATCGAATATCTGCGACGCTACGAGCGGGTACACGGTGATGCATAAAGAATCCAGTTTACGGCGTCTGTTAGGACTCGACGATACCCGACACGTCCCATTTCCGCCACCCGACGTCTTCTCCAAAGTGAAACCACTTCCTCGCTGCCGGAATCTGCAGATCCGATTTAGAAGTAATGTGATCGATTCTCCTAAGTTTGTCTACGATATTTCGCTGGCGTCTAAACGTCAATAGCAATGCAGAATGTGGATTTATAAAAATAGTTTACGAGCGAGGGGAGAATGGCTAGTTTTCTAAGTTTCAATAAATTCCATTTAATACGACTTAATATTGTACTCATTATCGTCAACGAATAATTAGCTATCGACAGCTCTAACTTAAAAATTGAACATCTTTTTTATTAACACAATCAAACTTGTATGTTGAAAACATAATATTGAAAACATAATAATTTTCTATTTACTATGTCACATATGCATTAATTTTTTATGTCGAGTGTAATCTTTCGTAGAAAGAGTTATCTTTGTTTTATGAAAGTAAAAATTATATTTGTAACTGTATACCGACGTAATTGGAGGAAACAATTTGACGCGTCTAGTTTGTACGCAGTACACACCAATATTTTTTAAGCTCCCTGACAACTGTGTTTCTCTGCATTATCACGTAGAATTAAACACATTGTTTCTTTTTTAAATGTTTTAGGAGATGAAAGTTAACTGGGCGACGTCGCCGGGTAACCAACCAAAACAGGACACGAGCAGTGAGTATGCCCAGTTTTCAGATTTTCGTCTTTACGCGAAAAATATTTTTAGTGCCGTGCGTTTTGCCTTTGATCCTATACCTGCTCGACTTGTTGGACGCGCATACTAATTGGTCCGAGCAGAGAATTACTCTAAAAGAGAATTTTTTAAAGCTGTTTCATTCCAAAGTAAAATGTATTTTGGAGTGATTGCAACATATATTATGCAAAAATGTTAGGTGAAAATATTGTGCAAAAATGTTAGGAAATTTCTATTAAACAACACAATATAATATTCAATACGTAAAGCAGCGAAGAGGTTTGACCCAACATTTCCACATTAATCTATTATTTGTAATATTAATGAAATTTAGAAACATTAGTAAAATAATAATATCTCATTTGCGAAATTTGTACTAGAAATTTATTATTACATAATTGAAATTAAACGGCGTACTATAACTTATTTATCATTATTACAATATTAATGCAATATACTTTTGTGTGCATTCTCAATATATATTAACTATTAAAACACGTCTATGAAATATATTTATCATTAGTTAGTTTATTGTCCGTATAAAGATAGCTCATATAAATATAGCATATATAATTTTACGAATCAGTTATTTTTCAATGATTTTCAATAAAAGTATAATTTCCAGCTTTTTAACGATTAAGTATACAGACTGAAAGTTTAAAAGTACAAATATTAATTACAATAACTGTCATATATTCGATCATATTTTCAAAACTATAAAAAGACCTACTTTTTCATTATTATTTCAATATTTATTCTCTGCTTAAGTATCGATTTAAATACCAATTTTACAAAAAAAAAATGTTATATGTAAATTTTATATATAGGACGTTTTATATATCCGTACATAAAACCATTATACGTTCTTTTTTAATGATTATTCCACAAAGCCCATTATCGTAAAATAAAGATTAAATAAATTTACCGGCTGAAATAAAATAATTCAATACCAGTGACATAAAATTAATATTTTATTTAAAAAAGTATTTATCAATTATTAATAATATCATTTTACTTTGATTTCTCGTAACTATAATTACTCGTATGTTTAATCGAATAAAACATTGATCGAATGTTTAATGCTCACTAATGTTTGAGACTCTTATTGTCGTTGTGTACATTGACAATGTGAATCTCTCTGCAGAAATTTTAATGTACGGTAATACAATTTCGTAGAACAAATTCGAATCGTGTGTGAATACAAACTGCTTTCATTAAAAATGCTGTGCTTTTTTACTATTCATGACGACGTGTTGCAGTATTTTTACATAAAGTAATTAATCTTTTATAACATATTAATCAAGTTATAACATAATGCTTCAGTAATTAAAATAAAAATATGCTCATAAAAATATATAATCTATACTTGTATTTACACATAAAATCTAATAAAATCCGAGAATCGTTAACAATCCAACAAAAGCTATTACAGTTTCTGCATTCGATTCAACGCGTCGGAAATAAATTTCCCAGCATCTCGCGTTGTATAGTTTTCATCGTCCATGTCCCAGTTTTCTTATCGTTGAAAAAAGAAATTATTAGAACGTTATCTATAAAAACGCATAGAGAGCGAGCATGAATTAATCAATGCTGAAAATTAATTATTCATCGCGACCATGGACATTTTTAACTCTATTTGTCGACCGGACAAAGAGTGCTATAACATGTTTTACTTATTGTAATGTAAAACGAATTAAAAGTATTATCTAACATAAAAATCTTGAAAGCATCGTCGCGACACACATATTTTCTTGTAAGTTTCATCGCGGATTTTTAAGTGCGCAGTTATAATTTCGTCGTAATCATGCATAATTTATTATTTCAACGTTTGTAAACGTAGATAAAGCATAGGATATTCAGTGAAATGGGACTTGGTGTAATACAGTTCCATGTATTTCTAGAATAACTTCTACGCGTAAGGCTGTCCGGTACAGCGGTAGTTCGGGATTAAGCGTACGTCCCTTGTGATAATCTCTTTTGCTTCCTGTGTCTGGGATCCCCAGAGAATCAGCCATAAACCATGAAACCCGTCATAACTACTTTCTTCCCACGATCTCTGTATGCTCGTGCGCATAGGAAGGTTGATGTAAATGCAGATTATGTAATGCAAACTGGACGAATTAGGAAAGATTTTCGTTCTTTGTTTTTTTTTGCAAAAACACCATATTGTCTCCTACGCTCGCGGGACGTACATATTTGAGGGATAAAATTTATTGTTGCTTACAACAATGCGCGAACGATACGAATAATGAATGAAATTCACCGGCTACACCTCGAAATCTCCCGGCATCGACTTTCATGCGTGGACCGGGCAACCCGAAATAATTTAACAGGCACGCATGACGGCTAAATAAATATCACAGGAAGATTCCTCCCGCTATTCCGCGCTCGTTACACGTGTGAAAAGGTGCGCGGTCGCGTCTCTGTGGATGCGCCCCATTATATATGTACCGGCGGCGGTCGTACGCGTGTGCGTGCTTGAAATTCAGTGAGGGCGGCAGCAATATTTAACTCAGTCTGAAATTCCTCTTTTTATGGACTTGTAAAACCGTGACAGGCACATGGGACCCGATCCTGCTTCTCCTCCTCCCCCCCCCCCCCGTCCTTCGTCCCTGTCGTTTTGCCCGCCACCCCTTGTTGCTACCTGCATCCCCCTCGCTCTCGAGCCCGACTCACACCCGCTGACGCGGTTAGATAGCAGTCTCGTATCTCTCTCTTGTCGTCCTCTTTTCCATCGCCGGTCGACGGTCTGCTACCGCGCGCGTACCTACCTACGATCACCTTCTCCACTTCCCTTTTTCCTTCGGCGTCGCTATCCACCCGCGCGTACGTACCTACCGGAGCACTCTCCTCTCTCTCGAAGCACTATTTCTCCTCGGCGACAAATGCAAAACTAAAACGTATTCTTCTCTCCTCTATTCTCTCTGTAAATATGCCGGTATAGCTGCCAGCGTGGCCAGAGTTCTCCCTTCGCTTTTGTTTCCCGCCGCCTCTTCCACCCCGTCGCCGCGTCGCGTCGTCTCCCTTCGCCATCCTCTTCACGATCATATGTATACAGAGCATTCGGCGAATAGATACAGGGAGGTGTTATGCGGCTGCAACTGGAACGACGGGTTGTTTTACTTTTCCGCGAGAGATTGCCAGTAAACTCCACCGCCGATGCACCTGCGCGCGTCTTGTGGCCGCGACTCTTACGTCGCGCCTACATGTGGAAGTATGTTAATTCAAAGGACCGCGATGTATAAAATAGGAGAAAAATCTTTAATAGCAACTGTACTTGAATAAGTGTACTTGAACTAATAGCATTGTACTTGAAAATTTGCAACTACGTTATCACTTGTTACATCTCATGGTTCTTCTACTCGTTTACGTAGCTAAAACAATGCTGTGAGATTTTTTTCACAAAATTTGATTATTTTAATTTTTGGGATGCTAGACAAAAATTTCTTTTACTTCTAACGCACTTTTACGTCTGCGTTTCCCAAATTTCACATAGAACTAGAAAGCTATTTATACCGCAGAAGAGTTTGCAACTCATGATGTATCAAACTAAAATTTTGACGACTAGATTGAAGCACGTTTGATATCGAGAAAATCCAAATAATATTTTGCAGCCGGAGTGTCAGAGATAGCAGTTACTCGTGACGGATCGAAACTATACATGAATGTTTGCGGAATGTCTCTGCGCGATGGCAGGTTGTGTTAGTTTTAGGTCAGTACCAGCTGCTAGACTGTGACTTTAAGACCGGTCGTTTATGCGAGTGTCATAATACGCAGTCGTGGGATCTAACGCGACGTATATTCCGCAAAGATGAAAATATAGCGGCTGAAGATGGCCTGCATGGAAGCGTAACAAACGGCGATAGTACGAGCGGCGAATTGCGATAAAATATTTTGGACTTTCATGTCTTGCGATATATTTATCGCGGTACGCAGCCGTGCCTGTAAGTAAGCGGAGCTTCATAATTTTTACTTAAAACAAATAGCATCAGTTGTTTTTTTCCGCGGGCGTTAAGGAGTAAAGGATCTTCATACTTTTAAGGAAAAATTGTGAACTCTGGGTCGCTTACGTAGACGCTGCGATTTAACGACGTACGGGTAAATATGCATACGCGTTAATACATATATTCGCCGATGGGATATTTCGGCGTCGCTAAAATTAGCGATTCCCGAAACTTAAAGCGACAGCATTCGATGTGATTTGCATAATTGCAATTTGTGTAATTGCAATTTCAATTATCTCAATCGCTATGCAGATTTGCCTATAATCCCTTACAGTGATAGTGACCCCGATATTATAGATCAATTTCACTCGAACCCCTTTAATAGCGACATGCAATCTCCGCGCCCACATCGTTGTAGCTACAAATAGATACCGACCCGTCGCCAGACATAAAAGGAGGAAGTTCGGGAAAGAGGAAAATTCCTTGTTCCACTTTTCTTCTTTGATCGTCGACAGGAGAGGCACTTGGCGAAGACGCGGGGAAAGAGGAACGGGATAGAGGAGGCGGGGGGGGGGGAGGGAGAAGAATAAACAAAGGAAGAAAGATTGTAGAATCGTGGCCGAAAGCCTCGGATTGGGTTTAGCTAGCTGACTACGTAATCGCGCATCGTTTTTCCTGCATTATGAATTGCGTCAGGGGATAATCGCGCCAGTATTTACGAGGCTTTTCAACACAAAGGAGTTACACCTCGGGTACCACTTCTCTATTCCGTTTATCTGCTGCAAGAAGCGTTTACCGTTAAACCATAAGCCGCATGTCTTCGCCATTTACGCGCATTATTGCCGTTATTGCAAACTCTATTTCTCACGTCCTCCTTTCGCATGTCCATTCGCTCGCGCCTCAGTATTTCGCAATTCCACGGTGGCGTCACACCTCCTTCGCACCGAGGGCTGCGTTTCCGCCATTTGTATTTTACGGCCCGCAAATATAATGCATCGATTTTCCAACCTCGGCATAAATCTGATTCAGCCGCCGACTTATCGCTGCGCTAGTTGGATCGACAGATGACGAAAATACTCCTTAACGCACGGTCCGCGAGAACCGGGGGGGGGGGGGAGGGGGGTGGCCAATTTACTGAAAATTCACG